CTTTTTTCTTTTTGCTTATGTGGTGCTGAGGAATCGAACCCAGGGCCTCAGGCATGCAAGGCAAGCGCTCTACCACTGAGCCACCTTCCCAGCCCCATGAGTCTCTATTTCTAATTAACCAGCAAAATGCCAGACTAGAAGTATAGATCAAATGGTAGAGCTGTTAGCTAAGTGAGCAAGCTGCGTGAAGTATGAGAGTTTAAACCCCAGTAGTGGCAGAAAAAGTTAAATTATTTACCTTTAAAAAGTATATACAGGGCTGGGAAGGTGGCTCAGTGGTAGAGTGCTTGCCTTGCATTCATGAGGCCCTGGACTCAATTCCTCAGCACCACATAAGCAGAAAAAGCTGGAAGTGGTGCTGTGGCTCAGTGCGAGCCTTGAGCTGAAGAGCTGAGGGACAGTGCCCAGACCCAGAGTTCAGGCCCCACAACCAACAAAAAAACCAAAACTATATATGATATATATATATACTATATATAGAGAGATAGATATATACTATATATATATATAGTATATGCAGAATTATTTGATCTTTCTTCCATGGCTGTAAGCTAGGACGTTGCCAGGTTTTGCTTGTATAGATAATGCTTGAATTATTGTGTAAGTTTCTGATGAATAGACTCCTAGTATTGGCATTAGGGGCAGGTGAATAGCATTTATTTTATTTATTGGAACAGAGGATCAAACACACGGCCTCCCCCGTGTTGTATACTCTGCCAGTGATCCACATCCTAACCCGGCATTGTTATTTCATGACAGTCTGGTACGGGATGAAATAACTCATTGCCTACACACATAAGCACCCTTTTCAAATGCTTGGAGAGAAAAAAGTCATTGGAAAGACAGTATGTATAGTGCTCATGCTTGTAATTCTAGATGCTCAGAGGGCTGATGTTGGGAAGATGGGAGTTTGAGGCCAGCCTAGACAGGAGGCGGATAAAAGACGTCTTGAGACCCCATCTCAATGAGTAAAAAGCTGGGTATGGTGGAGTATGCCTGGCACCAACCTGTGAAGGGAAGCATACATAGAAGGGTTGTGGTCTAGATCAGCTGAAGACCCTAATGGAAAAAAATAACTAAAGCAAAAGAGGGATGGGCCCACGGCTCTAGTGGTAGAGTTCCTGCTTGGTGAGCTCTGAGTTCACTACCACCAGAAAAAAAGTATGGACTTGGGCCAGAGGGATTATTGTGGGTTTCTCAGCCAGATCATCAGAATGTAGCCACCCTCCTGTCCTTCTCCTCCCACAGTTCCTGCTCATTTTCCACAAGGCTGCAGCCGGAGAGCTGCGGGAAGACAGCGGGCTCCTGGCCCTGGCCAAGCTCTCCGAGATAAATGTTGCCCTGGAAGGTGTCAAAGGTGCCAAGGACTTCTTCGAAGCCAAGGTCAGTTGGTCCCTGTTCTTGGTATGCAAAGCCCCTGGCTCCTCCCCTCGCTCCAGCAGTGCCCTGGGCACTCCCTGCCCACTGACTGTTCCCTTCACTCTGTCAGGACAAGCAGGTACCCCCTGTACCATGGCAAGGAAAGGCGTGACGAGGCATCTGTCATGTGACAAACAACCGAGGGTGGACAGACAGAACCTGTGCACCACTCCCTGCTCCAAGACCTTCTTCCCATCTAGAGTTTGCTAAAGAATTCTTTCAGCAAACCTTAGCTGCTCAGGAGGCTGAGATCTGAAGATCACAGTTCAAAGCCAGCCTGGGCAGGAAAGTCTGTGAGAGTCTTATCTCCAGTTAACCACCACATGGAAGTGGACATTTGCCTCAAATGGTAGAGTGTCAGCTTTGAGCAAAAAAGCTAAGGGACAAGTGCCCAGACCCTGAGTTCAAGCACACTACCAGCGTGTGCATAAACACACACACACACACACACTCACACACACACTTAATTTTTTCCCCAACCCCCAGTTAGTTCCTTCAACAGCTCTACCAGCTTTGCCTCTTAAACCTTTGGGTTATAGACAAGTGAGTAGTGGGGCCTGGGCGGGGCTGGATACCTGGGAAAGGAGCCCTGGAGAATCCTGGCAGGGATGGCATGCAAAGGGCACTGGGTCTGCCCCACACAGCCTGAGTGCAGATCCTGCCTCCTCCACAGGCTTTATCTTGCTGCCATTATGCCTCAGTTTCATCGTCTGTGCTTCGAGGTTGATGATAGGATTTCTCTGAGGATGGAAGGAACACACATCTACATTGTTGATCAAATGTTTGGCTTACTGTGGGCACTGGAGTGTAGTCTGAGCTGTTGGGGCTCCCTGCCAATCCTGCCAGCCTCCAAGGGAGTTTGAACTTTGGGGAGCTTAGGCAGGGACCAAGTGTCCCTTGGTGACATTTCTCAGCCTGCTTAGATTCCCTAAGCAGGAGTCTGTTCTTATTTGCCTGCGATCATTCTGGGAGTCAAACCCCATGATCTTCCTGCTCTGCAAACCTTATGTGCTCACGGTGTCAGAGACAGGCTGGCCACATGCTGTGCCTAGAACATCAGCAAACAAGTGGCCTGTCCTGGATGTGGTTTGGCCTCCTCTTCCTGCCTTCACGCTGATGGGTTTATTGATTTGTGCCCAGCAAGGCCAGGCGTCTCAGCCTCTGAGACACAGTTCCATCACAAGGGAGAAGAGGATGAAGTGTCTGCCCTCCTGAGGGGGCACACATGGTCCACTGCCCTGCCTCAAGAGGGGAAGAAGAGGGAAGAGAGGGGTGCGTTCTGCGGGGGTAGGGCCTCCCCATGCATCCGTGGAGCCACACTTGCAGCCTCTTGTCATGCGTTGGACTGGCTGGGGTTGAAGCCCAGGTGTGGACAGTCTACTGCCACGGTGCACAGGGCCATGTGGCACAGGTGGGATGTGTGTGAGTCCCTGGGGCCACCTTCTCTGAATGCTCAGGACCTGGGATAACCTGGCTTGAGCCCCATTCCAGCCCTGTGCACCGCCTTCACATGCAGCCAGGCCATCTCACAAGTGGCCTTCAACGGCCACAGGTCCCGCTGCCCCATTCCAGTGCGTCTGCCCAGAAAACCTCCTCCTTTCAAAGCCGCCTGTCAGTCTTAAAGTTCAATGCATTTCCTACAAAATTAAGGAAGCTGAGGGAAGGTGTGGGCTTGGGAGGACTGGGGGGAGAATGATAAAGGGAGTGGCACTGTGTTCATAATCTGCTCTGTGGAATGACAACCAAACAACAGCAAAAGCCGACCTGTCAGGTAGCTTCCTCCTGATTCTCCCAGCCAGGGGCTGCCGCTCCTCCCTGGGCCCCATCCTCCACGCCTCTTCCATGGGGCCGTGGCACAAGGTTATTCCTTCTCAAGTTGTTCTTGGACACTTAAAAAAAAAATCAGTCGTGGGGCTTGAACTTGGGGCCTGGGCACTGTCTTTAAGCTCTTTTTGAGAGGCTGTCTCTCTACCGCTTTAATCCACAGCTGCACTTCCACTTTTCTGCTGGTTAATTGGAGATAAAAGTCTCACAGACTTTCCTTCCCCTTGGCTGGCTCTGAACCATGATCCTCAGATCTCAGCCTCCTGAATAGCTAGGATCACAGACGTGAGCCATCAGCACCTCAATCTGAGACTTGCTATTAACTTGCTGTTGCCTCTGGGATTTTATCCTTCTGAGGTACTAGAAATTTACATAGATATCTGGGCAGAGATTTTCATACAGCATTATCAGAGATAGAGGGACCTTGGAGACAACCAAAACTTTCACAATCAGAGAAGGAAGGCGATTCTGGTGCAGTCCATGTATGCATACTCTGCAGCCATCAGATTTGAATGATGGGCCAGACATAGTAGTTTATGCCTATGAGCCCAGCAATCAGGATGCTGAGACAGGAGAATCAAGGGTCCAAGACCAGCATAGAAAGACCTAGAAAGACTCTGTCCCCCCAAAAATTCTTTTCCCATCCTGCAAGATTGAAGTATACTACTCAGAAGGCAGAGATCAGGAGGATTGCAACTGGAGGCCAGCCTGAGCAAAAGTTTATGAACCCCATCTCAACCAATAGGTGCAGTGGTGCAGGTATGCAGGCCTGATAGCTCAGCTATGCAAGAGGCTGAGATAAGGAGGACCGTGGTTCCAGCCTAGTCTAGTCAAAAAGTTCTGAGATCCCATTTCATGAGAAAAAGCTAGGCATGGTGGTGCCTGTCTATCATCCCAGCTAGGGTGGAAAAACATAGACAGGATCACCTTCCAGACTGGCTATGAACAAAAGAGCAAGCACTATCCCAAAAATAACGCAAGCAAAAAGGGCAAGAGATGTGACTCAAGCTATAGAATGCCAGCTTAACAAGCACAGAGCTGTGAGTTCAAATCCAAGCACCACAAATTTTAAAAAAAGAATTGAAAGTGCAGCTGTGTGGACAGATATACTCAAAATAATTTAAGCCAAGTAATATGTGTGACATCTGATTTTGTTAAAATATTTAATGTGTCTGTGGCTCATGCCTGTAATCCTAGCTACTGAAGCCAGCCAAGGCATGAAAGCCTGTGAGCCTCCTATTTCCAATTAACTACCAAAAAAGGGGCAAATGGAGGTATGGCTCAAGTAGTAGAGTTCTAGCATTGAGCTCAGGGACAGCATTCAGGCTCTGAGTTCAAGCCAGCCTCAGGAGCAGTGTGTGTGTGCGCATGTGTGCGCACATGCACGCACACACACACACATTAACTACAACCTGTATAATTATATGCAAAAGTATTAGTAATGGCTATATAGGAGAGATTCCCTTTATAGTCCTGTAATGTTCTATAGTGAGTGTGCATTATTTTCATAAGCAGGAGACAGATGAAAAGCGTAACAATAAATGTTTTTCGTCTTGCTATATTTATATGTCTGCCTCCTCACCCACACTCCAAGGCAGAGTAGGTGGATTACCTTTGTAATTACAGCGCCTGCTGCGTAATGGCCCTCAATAAACATTTGCATGAGTGACGAATGGAGAGCATCACCACTAGAATTTGGCAGAGGTTGTAAAAGAGCTGATGCTGGTGACAGATGTTCTGAGATGAATGGAGGTTCACCTTGTAATCAAGGAAGGAAGGCGTTCCAGCCAGCCGTGGGAACAGAGTGAGGGCTCCAAGGCATGGAGGGCAGTGAGTATCAGAGGTGGGGAGGCGTCGCCAGGCCGAGAGTGCAGGGCAAGTCTGCGGAACACGACTCTGATGGGAACTGAGCAGCACTTCCCACTCCTGCCGCATACACCATGGCGAGTGACAAGGCTGGGATGGCATCTAGATACAGACTGAAAGCTCTGACCCTCCCCAGGTGGAGGGACGCCTTCCCCAGCCTGCCGAGTGCTGCAACCATCCGCACACTCACTTCCCAGGCCCCGCTCAGGTCTGCCTGGGGCTTCTCCAGGGAGGGACCCAGAAACAGGTGTTGGTCCAGCTGTGCAGGGCATTCCAGTGCTCAGCCTGGCGGGGACTGCAGGGCCTGGATGTGAGTGGGGAAGGCCCTAGGAGAGCCGATGCCTGCGGAGAGCTCTCCACAGACGTCTGATGAAGGCATCAGTCCAGAAAGGCAATGACAGAGGTCGGGGCAACGTATGGATCAACAGACAACTTTAGAACCCTTGGTATTCCTGACACTGGATTAATAGTGGGAGAGAGAAGCCAGGCTCTGGTGGCTCATGCCTGTAATCCTAGTTACTCAGGAGGCTGAGATCTGAGGATCACGGTTCAAAGCCAGCCCCAGGCAGAGGTTCAAAGCCAGCCCCAGGCAGAAAACTCCACGAGAGTCTTATCTCCAATAAACTGCTAGAAGACCGGAAGTGGTGCTGTGGCTCTAGTGGTAGAGTGCTCGCCCTGAACTGAAGAGCGCAGGGAAAGCGCCCAGGCCCAGAGTTCAAGCCCCACGACCAACCAAAAAAAAAAAAGAGTGCGAGAGACGAAGTGCAGTTTGTAGAGCTTTGAGGAGTGGAGCTGAGGTTTTAATTCAGGACACCCCTTGCCCTGCATGGAGTGGTTTCAGGAAAAACAAAAGTTATGATGTGAAGTCCATGGTACTTCTGGCATGGGAAAGCTGTGTCTCTATTGGCTGAACCTTAGGTTGCTTGCAAGCATTCTTATTTACTTATTTATTTTTCCTGTGTGCTAGTACAGGGGCTTGTACTCAGAGCCTCTCACTCTCACTTTGCTTTTTTGCTCAAGTCTGGTATTCTGCCACTTGAGCTACATTTCCACTTTGGACTTTTGGGTGGTTAATTGCAGATAAGAGTTTCTCATGATGGGCACTGGTGGCTCACGCCTGTAATCCTAGCACCTCAGAAGGCTGAGATATGGAAGCAAGGTTCAAAGCCAGCCCAGGCAAGAACATGAGACTCTGATCTCCAATAAACCACCAGAAAACCTGAAGTGGGGCTGTGGCTCAAGTGGTAGAACGCTCATCTTGAGCTGAAGAGCTT